GTCCAAGATCTTACCGCCACTAAGTGATGGTGCTGGGCTTTGAACCAGGATTGACTTGCTCTGACTCAGAGGTTCCCAGCCAGTGTGGGTTATGTGAATCAAGATGGTGATCCCTTCAGCCTGCGGGTGCCTGGGTCAGGCCCAGGACGACTGGGATCCCGTGTTCTTTTACCCCCGAGTGTCGTACAAGTGGTTCTGTCTGTGTTGTGCTGTGAAAAAGCCTGAGATGCGTTGCTCTAACCATATTAATTGTGCCCCCTTACTGTCCTCTCAGCCGAGACTCTTTGCTCCCTCCCTCCTGGCGTCCAGTGTGGGTCTAGACACCCAGACCCTTAACACATGTGTGGCCAATAGGATTGAGACCAGAGATGGGTGGGAGGTCTGTGCTCACTTCTAGGTGCCATGTGAGCTGAACAGAGATGCAGGGTCCCTGCCTTCAGTAGACACTGCCAGAGGTCAAGTCCAGAAGACAGAAGTCTGCACAACTCAGGGACTTTTTTTTTTTTTTAAGATTTTATTTATTTATTTGAGAGAGAGAATGAGAGAGAGAGAGAGCGCGCATGAGAGGGGGGAGGGTCAGAGGGAGAAGCAGACTCCCCGCCGAGCAGGGAGCCCGATGTGGGACTCGATCCCGGGACTCCAGGATCATGACCTGAACCGAAGGCAGTCGCTTAACCGACTGAGCCACCCAGGCGCCCAACTCAGGGACTTTTTATTTGTTTGTTTGGACAGAGCCAGAAAACGTGGGGGTGGGTGGAGGGGCTGCTGACAGGGACGGCTTGAATCTTGACACCATCGGCTCAGCCTGACCCTGCAGTGTAGACACAGTCCTTTGGCTCCTTGCAGGCACGGGAAGCTGCTGACACATTGCGGCCACCAGCTGCCGTTGTCATCGTACACAGACGCAGGGCAAGCCAGGCACCGGGCCAGGGTGTGCTGCCGGCTGCTTGCAGAGACTGACCTTGCCCTCTGCCTTCACTGGGCTGGTGTGTAGGGTCACCCAACTCTCCAGGAACCCAGAGGTTGCAGCAAGAAGCCCAGATGAGGTTGCAGGCACAGTGGGCGGGCTCCATTGCTGCCCCTCATGCCTGTGGGGGATGGGAGGCTCACTCTGGTTCTGTGCGTGTGTGGGTGTCCGCTGCCTGGGGCGCCTGTGAACCTTCGTGCAGGGGATACTTCTGGGTGTGAGTGATGGGCGCCTCCTTGGTCTGGCCAGGCTTCAGCTCCTTTGTAGTGGGTGGAACTGAGGGAAGGCTGAGCTGGGGGGGGAGCCTCAGCACCATCTCTTTGTGACCCACCTCCTTTTGTGGTTGATGGTATGTCCACCATGTTGAACCATGTCCTGCCATAGAGTGCCCTGCCTTCTCCCTTCAGCCCCATTGTTGCCTCACTGAGCTTCCCGGTGAGGGCAGGTTCTAAGGGAACTGGTGCTAACTTAGGAGGGTAGCACATGGAATAGTTGACAGATTTAAAGCTCCAGAGACTTCTAAGGCAGGACAGCTGAGTTCCTGGAGAGCTGAGCAGTAGGCCCAGGAAACACCCAGGTAAATGGCTGCCCCTTAGCCAGACTGGGCCCAGGCCCTTCACCCCACAGCCTGAGGAGCAGTGTCTCTTGAGGGGCCTGGCCCCAGGTCCTTCTAGACCAGTGTAGCCAGAACTTCCACTTCGTGGATCTCACCACGAAGCCGGGATCCCTCAAAGCAGCAGCCCCCACAGGAGCATTGGTGGGCCATTTGCAGGTGTGTCTCTGGAAGGGGACCGATGAGGATGATGTGAGGGTGGGGCACATCCTCCCTGTGCCTCAGCGGGGGTGGGGGGTGGGGGGGTAGGGGGGTGGAGGACGGGAGGGTCTCCTAGGAGGTTTGTCTTTGCTCACCCCTCTAGCGACCCTGAGGCAGCTTCCACATTTTCCAGGTCTGCCTGTCACACTGCTTCCTTTGCTCCCCCGGCCCTGGGTGGCAGCAATGGATGTTCAGGAAGGGAAACAGCCTTGCTACCACTTCCCCTGCCAGCATCTTTTCCCTCTCCCTGCCCGTCTGCTCCCATCCTTCTGTCAGCCTACATTTTGGAGCAGTTCCCAAGCCATTCGCTTGTGCTGAATCCCGAGTGGGGCGGGTGGGGTCAGGCTGAGCCCACTCATTGTCTGTGCCGCAGCTGCTCCCCACAAACTGTCGTCTAGACCATGCCTGTGCGGAGGCGTCCGGGCGGCGTCTACACAGATATGATGGAGCTTCCGTGGTGCTTTCCAGGGAACCAGCAAGACAGGGGGGCTTAGTGCTGCAGGGAGGACAGCAAAGAGGCCAGAAGAGACGTGAAACCAGCTTAGCTCCCAGGGCAGGGGCAGCTCCCGCACAGGGCTGCTGACCCAGGGAGAGCCATCTCCTGCTGGAGGGAAGGCGTGGGCCAGGAGCTGGGGGTGCAGTGGTTTCATACACACACACACACACACACACACACACACACACACACACACACGTATTTTTTTTTCCTTGTGGAATTTTTAGTGGTGGGGAAAGACATTAAGCATACAAACACACAAATACATAATCACGAAATATGGAAAGTGCTGTGAATAGAAATTCCGCGATAGAGTAACTGGGACCCAGTGGTGGGGGAGATAGCAGGGAAGGCTTCTCTGAGGAGGTGATGTTTAAATTGAGAGGGATGCATAGAAGTTAGCCCGGCAAAGAGCAAGAACACTGTTGCAGACACATTACTGCCCAGCTTTTTAAGATTTTTCTAGAAGCAGTTTCATTCTTCCTTGCTTTTGTATAAATGACTTAGAATCTGTTTCTACCATAAGCCTCTTTGGCAGAAGTCATGGCCGAGCCTGACTGTAGCTTCTGCTCCATCTGGGGACTCACGGCCTACTGAGTTACATGGTCCTAGTTACTCTCAGAATGAAATCATGGGTCTGCTCCTCAGTGGCACAGCTCTGAAAATAAACTGGGGCTTGATGGGAGGCAAGCCTGGTAGATTGGACTAGAGGTGTGGCCAGGCTGTCTCTCCTGCTTTCCATTTCACTGCTGGAGTCAGTCTCCTGGGGTCTGAAATGAGGGCTAGAAAGGCAGCATATGAAGACTTAAGCTAACTAGTGAATATGCACCTGTCTCAGAGTAGAAAGGGGCGGCCTTCCGGGAATAACAGCAAAACAAACTAAAGGAAAAGAGAACTATTTAACTACATAAACATTTAAACTTTTTTTTTTTAAGATTTTATTTATTTGTCAGAGAGAGAGAGTGTGTGAGCACTCAAGCACAAGCAGGGGAAGGGGCAAGCAGGGAGAAGCAGGCTCCCAGGACCCCAGGATCATGACCTGAGCCGAAGGCAGACACTTAACCAACTGAGCCACCCAGGCGCCCCTATTCTTACCGGGGAGACTGTATAGATATTTCAAGTGATGCTACAGGATACTGTCGGTTGGGGTTTTAAATGATTTTTTTTTTACAGCTTTCCTGAGGTATATTTCATTTCACCTACCATAAAATTTACCCTCATCATGTATTTTAGGTGGGAGAAAAGGAAGCTTACAAAATGGTACCACAGTGTGGTCCAAATGTTGGTAATAATGAAAACTAGAAGCGTGCTCACGTGAGCATACAGGAAAGTCCGCTCGAATGTTAACAGTGACTCCATCTGGATGCTGAGATTATGGGTACCTTGTGTTCTTATTTTTGCATATCTGTATTTTCTAATGTTTCTGCAGGGAATGCTAATTACTTCTGTATGAAGAAAAAAATTACAGAAGTTTAGGGTCCAGTGTCCCCAAGCCTTTCATGGAAGGATAAAGCCTGCACTACAAACTTGGCCATCAGGTCCCCCAGATCTGGCCCTTGTCCCTCCCTCTGAGTCACCTCTCGCCACCCGTTGCTTCATGCTGTACACTCCAGCAACGCAAACTCCTTGGAGCTTGTTGCTTCTGTGCCATTTCTTACCCGTGTGGGTTTGCTCACTCGGGTCCCTCTGCCTGTCCTGACCTTGCCCCTTGCCCAACCCACTCCAGTATCACCTCCACAGGGAAGTTTTCCCTGAGCTGCCTGAGGGCCAAGGGCCCCTCCGCAGGGCTGGGCAGCTGGCCTTCCCTGGGCATCCCTGTGGCCCTCTGCCCTCCCTCCTTGCCCCATGTCCAGGACACTGCCTCCCCGAGCTGTTAACTGTAAGCAACCAAAAGGAGCCACTCTCTTGTCTTATTTAATCCACATCCAGATGTTATGTTCTAGAATCTGGCATCCATCTTTCATCTTAACCCTAGAGGAGGCAGGGATTTCCAGGTGGAGCCAGGCGCTCAGTGACCTCCGTCAGGGCCCTTTCACTGGCCCTTAAAGGCACAATATATGCTTTTCGTAAAAGTAATTAAAGAAAAAATTGAAAATAGGACAAAGAGAAGAGAAAGTAGATCCCCCCATTGATAACTCTGGGTGTTCTTCCATTAGAGAGGACCTAAGAGTCGGGAGTTTGAGAGAGGAGATCCCCTGGGCAGCCATCCTCGCACTTGGTGGGCCTGGGAGGCCCCCAGGCTTCCTCCCCACCGTGCCCCAGAGATCAGATCAGTGGGGGTGCAGAGGGACCCAGGATTCAGTACCTCAGGCCACTCAGCTGCAGGTGTTTGGGGGGAAGGCCTCACTTTGGGAACAGTCACTTCCAGGCCATCACCCCTCTCTGTCTCTGGGGTGGTCTCTTAGGGACCCCAGTTTGCATCTGCACAAAGCCAGTGTCCTCTCTGCATTTGACTGGCCCCTTTGAGGCGGGCTGTCTGCCCACCTCCGTAGCCAGCATATGCGGCCTAGAAGGACATCCCCCTTGAGCCCCCGATTAATGCCAAGGAAAGGAGCTGTGGCTCTTTGTCACTGGGAACCTTTGATGCTCCTCCAGGAGGGGGAGGAGGCGGCGGCAGCAGCAGCTGTGTGACGCATCCCCAAGTCAGAGACTTGCAGGCTCGGTTCGTGTGAGGAAACTCGCTGACTTGCTCAGTGAGAAGGGCTCTTCTCTGTCTTGTCTAGAGCTGAGAATGAAGCGGAGAGCATCGGACAGAGGAGCTGGGGAAACGTCATCCAGGGCAAAGGCTCTAGGAGGTGGCATTTCTGGAAATAATGCAAAGAGAGCTGGACCATTCATCCTGGGTAAGCCTCTGCCCGCAGGGTGGGCCGGGGTGCGGGGGGCAGGGGTGCGGGGCGCAGGCGCAGTCCGATGGGCAGCCGTGCAGGGCGGAGTGCCACACCCACCACAGTGCACCATGCGGGGCCCCAGCCTCAGGGCTGTAAGTACAGCCCCTTTGTGCCAGTGGAAGGTCCAGAGCCTTAGGTCACAGGTCACGCTGTACCAGAGTTGTCATTTTTGTTGTAGCCTCACCAGCCTTCGATCAGCTCCAGCTGAGAGCTAGACTGTCTCTTCCCGCAGAGCACCCCATTTGCCCCCCAGCCCATGGCACACAAGCTGCATCAGAACCCAAGGCCCATCATCCCAGGCATTTCTTTGACCATTCTTGGAGGGTACAATTCATTCCACAGGGCATCTGGTATAGCCCTCCAGATTTCTTGTAAAATTGGCACAGAAGTCCTGCGGAATTAGGTGTGCCCAGTGGTCCAGAAGAGCCGCAGGGTCTTTCTGCGTGATGTTAGAGGCCCAACAAATCGGGGTTGCTGTGCTCAGGGTTGCAGGGGTGAAGTGGGCTCTAAGGACACTGGAGACTGGTTATGAGTTTTGCTTTGGGGCGGCGTCTCGGACTTACGGGCACAGGACAGCTCCAGCCCCAGTCGTTGGGCAGATGGTTCCCAGTACCTACCATTTGCCGGGCCTGGGCTGTGTGCTAGGGGCGCAGCAGTGAACAGGACAGACAGGTTCCGGCCCTCACAGAGCTTAACGTTCTAGTTGGAAAAAGAAACAGAGTAAACACCGCACAAGATCATCAGCAGGGCAGTAAGTGCCTTGAAGGAAGTAAACAAGACGATGTGAAAGTGGGACGGGTTACAGGGAGTGTGTACAAGGAAGGTTCCGTATGAGGAAGTGATATTTGGGCTGACTCCCGAGGAGGAGAAGGATCCAGCCATGTGAAACGCAGGGGAAGAGCATTCCAGATAGAAGAAACAGCAAATGCAAAGGCCCAGAGGCAGGAAAGGGCTTAACAAGTTAGTACTTAAGAGCCCAGTGTAGCTGGAATATTGGCGAGGGGGTAGGAGAACATGATCAGTGAGGTGGGCAGGAACCAAACCACACAAGGCCTCAGAAGCCAAAAAAGTTTCGACTGTGTTAAGGGCAGTGACGCTGTGACCTCGTCTGACTTCTGCTCTGAACGCTCAGGCGGGATGCCGGCAAGGGACAGCGAGCAGTGTCCCCCTCCAGGAGTACAAAAGTCCCCCAAACCTGGGCTCTGATGGGGGCCAGGCAGCCACCTCAGACGACCAGGGGAGCTCCCAAAGCTATAGTTCCTCAGCCCGGAGATGCTGATTCAGAGGCTCCCGGTTGCCGCTGGGATCTCTGCTTTTACCACTCACTCCTCAGAGGTTCCATGACACCCCCACTGTTGAAAACCCCCCCTTTTGCAAGCCGGGCCCGTAAAAGCCAGGTATACGTCAGGCACACGCGCACGTGCTCTTCCGTTGTTGGAGAGGGGACTGCGAACCCTCCACCAGAAGACTTGGGGGGGGGGGTCACTCTGTGACTGTGAACAGTGGAAAGACCATGTGGTGCCACGAGAGACGGTGCTCGGAAAAGTAAGCCCGAGGCTCTGTGTGCCGTAGGTCCCCGTCTGGGCAACTCCCCGGTGCCAAGCATTGTGCAGTGTTTGGCAAGGAAAGACGGCACAGATGACTTCTATCAGCTGAAGGTGAGTGAGGCGCCCAGGGCGGGGTTGGCTCGGGCCCCAGGGGCTGGCCCGCCAGCCTGCTCTCCCCCCTTCTCATCTTCACACCCACACCACCTGCAAACAAGAGGAGCACCATCTCTTCCCAGGAGGCGGTCGGGCGCATGCAGCCTCGCTCTGAACAGGCCTGCGCTCAGAGCAGGCATCACACTGCCGTCACGTTAAGAGAAACCTCGCACGTCGCACGTGCCCGGGGGGGTGTGCGTGCAGGTGTTGCGGGCCCGACCGCGAGCCCCCTGCTCTTCCTGCTCACGCCATTCTGCTTTGTAAAGTAAGGTTTGTTTTTTGGGTTTTTTGGTCTTTTTGTGTGTGTGCCTTCCTAAAGATCCTTACCCTTGAGGAGAGGGGGGACCAAGGAATAGAAAGCCAAGAGGAGAGGCAAGGCAAGATGCTGTTACACACCGAGTACTCTCTGCTCTCCCTCCTCCACACGCAGGACGGTGTGGTTCACCACCATGGGCTCTTCCAGGTGAGTGGCAGAGGGGGATGCCTGTCCCCCCGCCCCCGCAACCCCCCACCCCTGGCCGGCTCTTGGGGCTGGCCCCTGCTGGGGCCACATCTGTACTTGGAACAGCTTGCCCACGCAACTGCCTGGGAACCCTGCATGCTGGGTGCGCCGGGACTTCCTGGGTGGGCTGGGCTGGAGGTCAGGCTCTGGCCACACCAGCTGCTGCAGCACCCCTGCAGTGAGGCTTGCTGCCCATCGGGAGTGCCCCTTTCTTTGGAGAGCCACTTTTCCGAGAAGGGAGGAAAGCATGAAGTCATTTAAAGACGCCTGGGCTCTTTCCTGTTGTGTCGTGTCAGAAATGGGCCAGGCCAGGGAGGGATGAGCCTCGTGGGCCACCTGTGGATCCTGCAGTTGGTGTTGGTATCAACAGTCCTTTCGCCTGCCCAGGCATCCCAGTTAGTTGAGCAAGTATCCCCGAGCTCCCCATGCTCACAGGTTCCAGGTCTCTTAGGGAACATACTAATGAGTAACTTGTACCCTGAAAAGAGCCCTCCTTGGGGCCGAATTGTGTCTCCAGAAATGAGGAAGGCCCGGTTCAGGACGCTCAGGAGGCCTCCTGCTCAGGCCCCCAGCAGAGCTTCTGCAGGGCCCTCGGCTAGACAAGCTGGACAGGGCCACTCTTGCCCGATGGACCCGGCCCCCGAGAAGCAGTGTGGGGACCGGGAGCCACAGAGGTTTGGGAGCCGGCGGCCCTGGAGTCAGGTTGCATGACCTCGTCCCTACACTTTAGGTTCCTCATCTGTAAAACGGAGGTAGTGATGGACACCTGCCCCACGAGGTGGTCGGGAATGTGAGCGGGCGTGTGTGCAGCCTGAGCCATCCCTGCACACACTCATCGCGTTACTTCCTTGTCAGCTTGAGTTCTTGGACTAGATAAAGGGAAGATGCCCCCCCACCCCGCACACACCCCACCAAGGTCTTTATTCTTAGATGTGCATTAGAAACAACTCTGAAAATCAGCATTTCCCTTCCACGTGAAACCAAACCGAGGGTGATCATGAGTCTTCAGTGCTTCGTCTCTGACAGCTGCTAGAGCTTGGCCCTGCTTTGTACCCTCTTGGATAATAGAAGCTGGGTGGTTAGAAGCATTTCTAGAGTCACCTGTGTGCCAGACACCGCTGGGCCTCTGGGGAAGAGAGAACGAGAGGTGTGGTCACGCTCCGAAGGAGAAACGTGGCTGTTCCATCCCTAGCAGTTCCCCGGAGGCAAGCGTCAGTCTGCTGGGGCTGACACTGAGCGTCTCCCCAAGCTGGCTCATCGGTAGAGCACGCAGCTCTTGATTTCGGGGTTGTAAGTTCAGGCGCCACGCTGGTTGTAGAGATTACTTTAAAAAAAAAAAAAAAAGAAAGAAAGAAAAAGAAATGTCTTTTCAGCAAGGAAAACGGGCCCAGCACTTACCACCGCACACTGGTAGCAGGGCCCACCTCCTGGGCACTGGCATGGGTTGCCGTAGTCTCTGGACAACCTGGGAGGGAGGGTGCCAGCTCCCTTTGACGGATAAGGGACCAGAGACTTGGAGAAGTGAGGTGAACTGCCCCACGTCCCACAGCTGGAATGAGCAGGAGCTGGGGCCTGAACCCTGCCTTACCCACTGTTCCGTGGCTGCCCAGGAGTCCGGCTCCCATGTGAAAGCAGTTGTCTTGGACACACAGAATGCCTCACTTCTACTATCTCGGACCTTGGTCATGGCTGGAACCTCTGGGACTGCCACGGAGGGGGGATGCCCCAGGGCCCCGGCTCTGCTGCCCGTACCCTGGGCCCAGAGGTCCCTTTGGCATTACACGCTCAGCCCTGATCCGAACCCTTTGCATTGGGATCGGAGCACGAAGCCTTTTAACGTCAGCCCCTGGTCCAGGCCGCCGCCCCCGCACATGTGCAGCTCGTTCCAGGCTTTGGCATTGGTGTGTGTCTCCAGCTCCAGAGGAGACTCCCCGACCCCTGCCCCTGGACCTGCGGGCCCACACCAAGCCCTGGTCTGCCCCTTTGTCTCCCAGGACCGCACCTGTGAAATTGTCGAGGACACAGAATCCAGCCGAATGGTTAAGAAGATGAAGAAGCGCATCTGCCTTGTCCTCGACTGCCTCTGTGCGCATGACTTCAGCGACAAGACCGCCGACCTGATCAACCTGCAGCACTACGTCATCAAGGAGAAGAGGCTCAGCGAGCGGGAGACCGTGGTCATCTTTTACGACGTGGTGCGCGTGGTGGAAGCCCTGCACCAGGTGAGGCCCTGCCCCCCTGCCCCCCCCCGCCGGTCCCCCCTCCTCTAGCTGGCCCGTCCTGGGCTCCCGGTGACCGAGAAGCCTCCAGGCCCCACTGCCACAGAAGGCCACCCCTTCTTGCTGCTGCTCCGCGGAAGCAGCTATGGGGCCCGTCTCCCCCCCCCCCACCCCCCAGGTGTGCTCTGCAGCTGGAATGTCCAGAAGGAAAGTGGCTAGATGACCTGTGTAGCCAGCGAGGCACAGGGCTGCAGGCCTCAGCCCAAGTGCCTGGGAGGCGCTGCCCGGGCTGCCCAGCAGAGCCCAGCAGAGCGGCTCCCTGTCTTTGAGAGGCTAGCCTGTAGTCTCCCAGCGGAGGTGACGACGGTGGGATGCCCCTCGGGCAGCCACAGCCTGTCCGCTTTCCCTAGGGTTGGGGTGTCAGGCACCCCAAGGTGCGGTGAGGAGAGCCTGGGCCTCTTCCAGGCACACAGCTTCTGCAGGCTGAGCCTGCACTACTTGGTCACCAGAACCGTGAGCGTTCACCTCTGACCGCAGATCCGAGCAGATGCTACTGTTTTTCTCGGCAGGGTGTTTGCTGGAGGCGGAGGGAGGAGTGGTTTTCCCTGCTGGCTGCCGCTGAGGGGAGAAAGCTGGGGAAACCGCCCCGGTAGGGCAGAGACTGCCTGGGTTCGCATATCCCCCTATCCCTACCCATGGCTGATGAGGCCTTAGAACAGTCCTGATCTGTCTGTGCTGACAAATCAAGGCAGGAGCCCAAAGAGACGTTGTAGAGCCTTTTTCCTGCCTCCCCAAACCCCTGAAGAGCCCTGAAGAGCCCACATCTTACAGGCTGGGCCCAACCCTGGCTCTGTCCTTCATGGTCCAAGCCATGTGCCTATTCCTTTTCCAGAAAAACATCGTGCACAGAGACCTGAAGCTTGGGAACATGGTGCTCAATAAGAGGTAAGACCCTCCTCTGTCGGGATGTGACCTTGCGGCTGGCACGGGCTACATGCTTCAGCTACCCAGTGCCCTCCAGTGCCCCCTGTTTCCAACTCACACCAGCCCGCTTCTGCAGGAGAATCCCAGGGCCTGGAGGATGGGACACCTGCTTCGGCCTTTTGCCACGTGGGAATATGGTGCTTGCTTAGAAGGAGAGGAGTCTTAGGGGCCCCTGGGTGGCTCCGTCGGTTGAGCATCCAACTCTTGATCTCGGCTCAGGTCTTGATCTCAGGGTTGTGAGTTCAGGCTCCACATTCGGTTCCAGGCTGGGCATGGAGCCTGCCTAAAAAAAAGAAGGGGAGTCTTAAAGGCCACAGGCCACAGAAAGGGAGCTCTGAGAAGAATTCCAGAGATCTTCCTTGGACCATTCATTTGTGTGTATCTAGTGGGTGCTCAGTAAATGACTATAAAAAATGGAGAAATTAGTGAAGGAATGACAGGTGAGCAAAATGAGTTCTCGTCATAGGTCGGATTCCCAGGAAACACACTCTGAGATGTGTGTGCAGGTTTACTAAGAAGTGCTCTTGGGGCAAAGGGTGGGATTGGGCAGAGGGAGAAGCAGAGCTGTGGTACAGTCACAATAGGGCCTCAGCCTGGAAAACTCAAGAGCCAGGGGCCCTTCAGATACCCCAAATTGAGGCAAGGGGGCTCATGGCCCTGGACGCCCACTGCGACCAGCCTCAGAACGCAGGCTGTGCCCAGGGCAGGGTGGGCTAGCCGTGGCCAGGGCAGCTTCCTTTGGCTAAGGGGGCTTCCCAGAAAAGGATGCAGCTATGAGTGGTCAGGAGCCATCACTCTCAGCAGCAGGGAGAAAGTGCCTCGATCTCAGAGGGGGTCTGGGCGGCTCACCCTAGCACCCTCAGTCCATCAGTGGCAGAGGGAGATCCCACGAGGCCCCGGCCACAGGCTATCACCCCTCTCCCCAGCTGGAGGGGCCCCAGCCTCATAGGGGCCCAGGACCGCCGGCAGGCACCACCATGACCATAGACGTGCAGGGCTGGGAAGGGCCCGCTGCCTCCCTTGCTGTCTCCGGGGAGAGCCAACACCTTGCCACCCGCTCACTGCCAGGCGTTGAGGTGGGTCTGAGGGCTCGCAAATGGCAGGCACCAGTCTCACAGCAGAAGCGGTGTGGTGGTGACTTGTTCCCTAATGTGGCCACCCACTCACGAGGGGGCCCGCTGTCCCTGTGAAGTGGCCAGAGCCACAGCAGGCACGAGAGAAGAAGCTGCAGGGAGATAGGCCCCTGGGGACCAGACCCCTCCCCCCGACACCATGGGGAGATCACCGCCCTTCTGCCACCACCAGCCAGCATCAGGGCCACAGACGGACCATCTCCCAGAGCCACCGTGCAATGGGGCACCGACCAGAAAGCACTGGCTGGGGGCCCGGGGAGGTGGGCAGAGACTCTGGCCATCTGAGTCGGTTTCCTGAAGGATGAGTAACGATTTGCAGGAAGCCAAAATTCCAGGGCTGCTGGAACCCCTGATGGGCTGAGGGAGGGAGCTGGGGAAGCTCAGGGGTCAGACCTGGCCCGTAGCCCAGCGCTGCCTCTTCATTCCGCTCAAGACCATGGAGTTCATTTGATTACGTGTTGGGTGATGGGTTCATCAGCGTATCATCAGCGTATCGAGAGGCTGCTGTGCTAGCAAGCCCTTCTCTGAGCTTCCGTTTCCTCCTCTGTGGAGGTGGAGGTGATTAAACCTCCCTGCAGAGACTGGCCTGAGACGTGGAAGCGCCTCACGGGGCTGGGCCCGTCGTAAGTGCCCCGCGTGCGGGACGGCCTGTAGCTCGCTTCCCAGGGGACAGGGCCTGCTGGGGGTTGGGCGGCTGGCAAGGGCCGGCAGTGAGCCCGGGCGGGGGACTCAGGTGCTAGAGAACCTGGACCCCGCCAGCCCTGAGGGTGCGTCGTCTTATTTGGACTTGCGGCCCCGGTCTTCTGTGGGACGTTGGCCCAGTACCATCCTGCTCTGGACGGCAGGCTCACTGCTCACACAGAGGGGGCATGTTTTTTGACCACGTAAGTGCATCCGGCTGCGGAGCCCACGTCCTCTGCAGCCTTCCCCCGCAGCCCCGCGCCGGCTCTAACTGAGCCAACTGAGCAGCCCGAGGGTGCTTGTGGGAGCGTGCACTGGGCCCCTGTGCCGCCGACCACAGAAGTCCCCCCACCCCCATCCCCAGGCCACCTCGCTCCCAGGAATATAGTCGGGAAGTCCAGCCCCTCTCGAGTACCAGCAGTGGCTCCTCGTGTGTGCGTATGTGTGTGTGCCCGTGTGTGTGTGCACCCGTGTGTGTGTGCCCATGTGTGTGTGCCCGTGTGCAGCTCCGTGTGTGTGTGCGCCCGCGTGCAGCTCCCTGTGTGTGCGCCCCTGTGTGTGTGTGTGCCTGTGTGTGTGTGTGCCCGTGTGTGTGTGCCTGGGTGCAGCTCCGTGTGTGTGTGCGCCATGTGTGCCCGTGTGTGTGTGCCCGTGTGTGCCCGTGTGCAGCTCCCTGTGTGTGTGCGCCCGTGTGTGTGTGCATGTGCGCCTGTGTGCAGCTCCATGTGTGTGTGCCCGTGTGTGCATGTGCGCCCGTGTGCAGCTCCGTGTCTGTGTGCCCGTGTGTGTGTGTGTGTGCCCGTGTGTGTGTGCGCCATGTGTGCCCGTGTGTGTGTGCCCGTGTGCAGCTCCCTGTGTGTGTGTGCATGTGCGCCTGTGTGCAGCTCCATGTGCAGCTCCATGTGTGTGTGCCCGTGTGTGCGTGTGCGCCCGTGTGTGTGTGTGTGTGCCGGTGTGCAGCTCCCTGTGTGTGTGTGTGCCTGTGTGTGTGCCCGTGTGCAGCTCCCTGTGTGTGTGTGCGTGTGCCCATGTGGATGTGCACCCGTGAGTTTCCCTCGGATTGAGGAGCACCAGTACCCCTCTCACACCCTGTGTCTTGGCTGCGTTGCCTCTCATCTGATCCCCTTTTTGGGGTGTTGGGGCAGACGGAGGTTCTGGCCGCCCCTCACTTGACTCGTGGTGCTCCGGCAGTAGCGCAGGGGGACCGAGCGCGAGCGCCGCACCCTGCCCCGTGAGCGTCTGCAGGCACACCCCTGCCTTCTCGTTCGCACCCCTGCAGAGTTCGAAGGCCGACCTGGAGGAGCTCTAGCCCCCGCCTGCCTGCCAGGCCGAGGCCCTGACTCCAAGCCGGAGGCCTCCTCTGTTGCTCACAGAACGGAGCGGCTTCAGGGGAGGAAACAGGGAGAAGTGTTTGCAAGGCGGCTACCATGACGAGTTTACCCTGCCTGGGAGAAAAGGCAAGGGTTGAAACCTGAAATACCCTTTTGGGGTTATATGAGGTCTGCTGTGGGTTCTTTCTCCTTCCTCCTTTCTTTTTGGGCAAGCAAGTTGCACACCAAGTTCCTAGAAAAGGAGAAAAATGCTGGTAGCCCAAAGGGCCATAACTAAAGAGTGACTCACGCAGAGCTGCCTCCCTTCAACCCCACTGCCCTTGCCCCCTGCCGCCACCGGGGCTCCCAAGGGTCTGGGCGCCACCCGCCGCCTTGGGCAGTCGTGGCAGGGCCGGGGAGTGTGGCCAGGCTTCGGGAGGGCTCGGAGCTGATCGTGTGGTTTCCTGTGGGCCAGCCTCCAGGACCCTCGGCGCCATGGGCCAGCTCGGCCCCGCCACCCGCCGCGCAGCCACACACGGTGTCCTCGCGCCCCTGGCCCAGGCCCAGGCCCGGAGGGCAGCAAGGCCGGCGGCACGGCTGGTGGGAAGCCCAGCCCGCCCTGGCCTGCTCACTCCGGGGCCTGTGGCCGCAGTGTGGCTCCCCTCGCCTGCCGCCTCAGATGGGCTCTTTCCTGGGGTGTCCCATCACTAGCCAGCCATGCCCCCCCGTCTGAGGAGGAGAGGGTAATCCGAGCTAGCCATTAGCAGTCAGTTACTAGTTGCCAGGTCCCCGGCTCTGTGCCTTCCCGGAGGTTGTCTTCTTGTCACATCCTCACACAGCCCTCACACAGCTAATATTCTCCATTTGGCGATAAGGAAACAGGTTTAATTAGAGATTAAATGAGGTACCCATGGTCCTGCAGCCAAGGGAACGGCCGAGCTGGGCCTGGGACCCAGGCATCCCAACTTCCAAGCTCCCCAGACCCTGCCCTGAGCAGTACCCTCCCAGCATCTTGTGCCTCAGGGAGCCCCTGCAGAAGACACTGCCCGCTGCGGCAGCCGGCTGAGGTAGGGGGACGGACCGTGGGCCTTCTGCTCTGTGGGGGCCTTGCAGATGCACAGTCCCAGATCCAGGGCAGTGACATGGGCAGCCCAGAGCTGGAGCAATCCACTTCCTGACACGGTGTCCTTGGCCAGACCCTTTGCCTGCACTCTCCAGCCCTGGCTGCCCTGGGGGGCCACCGGGCAGATTGCTGTGGCATCTGACAGGGCAGGCCTGTGTGCAGAGCGAGAGTCGAGGTTTCCATTTGGATTGCAGAGGACAGACTAACCTTTGTTTTGTACCAAGCCCTTTGCCAGCAGAATTCCCCGAGATAGCCGAAGGGCTCGCCGAGCCTGTTGGTCACAGCTTCTGGGGAATTCCATGCTCAGCCCCACACACCCTGTACCTCTAAGCCGACCCCCTCTTCACCCTGGAGACTCGGCCAGTGAGAGGCGGTGGGAGGCCCCTCAGAGGGCTGCCCTTCCTGCCGTCCTCCGGCTTCTCTGCCCAGCCAGGTGACATGGAGCCGGGCAGGTGGCCCCTGCCCCGTGTGGGTGGAGAGGTGCCCTTTCTCACTGGTCCTCCCCGACAGGGCCTCTTGGAGGGGCTGCCCACCCCCACCGCCCAGGTATGGAGTAAGGCATCCTCCCTGGGCCTCTTCCTTTTGTGTACATTGTGAGTTTCATAAAGGGATCTGAGCCCTAAGCTGCTCTCGCCCATGACTCTCTGACCAGGGAGTCTGGGGTCTTCTAGGTCCAAGGAGAGTCTGAAGTCCAAGACAAGGGCTGAGTTAGCTTTGATGGAATTGAAGGGAAATTGAGAGGCTGGGCAGTGCCCAGGGACATGTAGGTACCAACTGGTGGCCGTCCAGAGTGCAGGCTCTGGGGTCAGGCAGACCCAGGCTTGGATCCTGTTCACTAGCCCCATGACCCTGAGCAGGTCCCTTCGTTTTTCTGTACCTAAACTGCATCACCTGCGAGGGGTGAATGCAAACAGTCCATATCGGACCCACAAGCCAGGGCCTGTACCTGCTAAGTGCTCTGTAGGCATTCGTTTTTAGTACTGTCCGGGATGCTGATTGACAATGACCAGGGTGATGACCAAAGGGATCGACCAGGGGGACAAAAGTGGCCCCCGTGGGTGGACTCCAGAGCCCTGCTGACCTTCCTTGTCATTGTATGTAAATGAGGGAGCCGAACTAGAGCTCCAGTCATTCCAAATGTCCATGTTCCGTGAGGTGGTTTTGGGAAGTCTCTGCAAATCGTTCTGAGTCCTAAGCTGTGGCCCCAAGGCTCAGCCCGGACAGCATGTTCCGGGGAGCACCTCTGGAGCACTCACTGGGTCAGAGTGACTCAGTGCCTCTGATCCCAGGTGCCGAGGGGACAGCTCAGCAGCCGCAATGGCACTGCTCATGCAGCCACAGGGAAGGCAGTGGGGACCCGGGGGGCAGGAAGGGATGTGGTGTGAGTCCTTTGCTCCCTTGGCGAGCCGGGGTGGGGGGGCAGTTGGGTGCCTGCGGGTACAACACAAAATTTGTTCATTCTCTGCCCCCTGCTCCCAGGACACATCGGATAACCATCACCAACTTCTGCCTCGGGAAGCATCTCGTGAGCGAGGGGGACCTGCTGAAGGACCAGAGGGGGAGCCCTGCCTACATCAGCCCAGATGTGCTCAGCGGTACGTGTGGCGAGCCAGGCAGCGGGCCCCAAGGGCTCCGCACCACCGGGCCCCACAGTGGCTCATTCCTTCAGCAGAGCGTGTGTGTGGCGAGGGGGAAGCCTGGGCTACGTGCTGGGGGTTCAGCGGTGGTCCAGACCAGTACTGTCTGTCTGTGTACAAAATCTGGGGTCTTCTGGGGGAGGCAGATGGTAATCCTCACTCTGGTGCAGGGTTAATGACTCTGAGATTATTTCTGTGAGTGTGAACAATGAGCACTTGAAGGACTTCCCTGAGGAAGTGACATTTGAGCTGTGATTGCAAGGACAGATAAGGACTCGGGTGTGACTGGGAGGGGGTAGCACAGCAGCTGTGGCTGGGGCTCAGGCAGGGGGCCTGGTTCAAGGGGAGGCCAGAGGGGTGGGCGGAGGCCAGACCAGCAAGGCCCGAGGGAAGTGCCCTGGAGAACAGCATCCCACCTTTCAAGTGTGAAAGGAAGCCATGAGCAGGTCTTCAAGACCTCTCTCCCTTTGTTCTGTTCCTTCATTAGTGCCTTCCTTCCCACCTTCCTCCGTCCCTCCGTCCCTCCGTTCCTTCCTTCCTTCCTTCATCTCCCCTCCCTCCTGCCCGAATTTTCCAAGGGCCTACCATGTAGAAGGCCCTGTTCTAGACACTTCAGATACAACAGTGAACAGGCACACAGATCTCCCTGCTTCCGTGAACGCTGAGCTGACTTTCTAGTGGGAATGAAACAGCCAGCACACAAAATAAAAAAGCCAGTTATGCACCGATTAGCCACTGATCCTATTGCTAAGTACCAGGCACTGTGCTGAGCACATGACCTGCATCACCTGCTTAAGAACCCACAGCTACCCTGTGAGGTAAAGATTCCAAGTCCCCTTGTCATAGCTAAGAGTAAACCTGAGAACTGAGGCTCACGGCTCGGCCAGCCTCCTGCCCAAGCCCATGTTCCCCAGGATGCTTTCTTTCCTTTCCCTGTGTCCTTTGCCAGATTGGGGCTTTCTGTCCCGATACTTAGGGAACCAAGGGCTTCAGGTCTGCTCCCATCCCTTCCACACGGAGGTTCCAGGGTGCCTCTGGGGCCAGCATCCCCAGGCCAGCACACTCACCAAAGCATTATCACACATTGGAGATCTCTCCCCGCTGAGGCTTCTGCTGCAGTGCCAGGCCTTTCCCAGGCCGTGCTGCCACCTCCCCCTCCCCCGGGACCTTGAGGTTGACACACCATGGAGTCAACATGGTGACTGATCATGGTCACCGACATCCTGGGGTTGGAGTCACCATGGCCTCTGCTAGAGGGAGCCAGGTGGTAGGGCTGCACCCCAACTCCCCAGGGACCAGCCCAGCCTGGACACCCTCCATGAGATTCCTCAAAGCATCCTTGTGGGTGACAGAGCAAGGACGATGCACCAGGCTCCTCCCTCAGCACAAGCCTACGAGCTGGGGCCTGTGACTGTGCGCGCTGGGGCTGGAAGGGCTGGCTGTGGTCAGGCCACCTCCGCCACACCAGGCCAGGGGCCTCCCCGTGCATGCACTTCCTTTGGCTGCCCGGGGCCTCTCCCTGGCTCTTCCAGCTTCATGTGGGTCCCAGAGGACGAAACAGAGGGACCCACTGCTTCAGAGAGTCCTAGACCCGGAGACCCGAGATCCGGCTCTTGTTCTGGCCTTCAGCCCCCTTCTCTGAGCCCCCGTCTCCTCCTGGGTCAAAATGGGACGCGCTGCTGCCTCCGCACATGGTTAAGAGGTTGAAGCAGGATGATGACTACACGTCCCGCCTTGCGGGCTCTGAGTCGAGGCCTGCCACTTTGTTGGTACTGCGTTCCAAGCACAGCCTCAGGCATCAGGCCCAGGGCTGTGAAAAGGCAAACAGGACCTTGCCCGCATAGAGTTATAGTCTGGTCAATAACTGTGTCACCTTGGAAAAGTTACTGACTTCTCTGGGCCTCAAGTTTCACATCTATAAAATTGGGATGATAATAGCCCCCGCTTCATAAGGTCCGTGGGATTAAAGAAGGCCTTTAACCTGCTGTCTGGCTAATTAACATTAGCTGGCATTATCATTACAGAAAGGAAGGCTTGAAATTCAATCTCCTCGGAAGCCAAAGCTCCGGGCAAGGTCACCTGCCCAGGCAGAGCTCCCGGGGGAGCTTTTCTGCTGGAGGGGGCTGTTCAGCTCCCATCCAGGCCAGGGCAGAAGTCCTGGGGCTCAGGCTGAGGGAACCCACACCGCCTGCAGCCACAGCAGCTAAGAGTCGTGGCTCAGTGAACTCTGGTGATGACCCCACATGGCAGAGCACGGTCCAGGAGAACGGGGTTGCCCTGGGGTTGCCCATGGGGTTGACCATGGGGTTGACCATGGGGTCTGCTGCACAAGGCCATCCACACTGCTCTTTGGCCCCGGGGATTGGAAAGGGGCCAGGGTGACACAGCCTTAGAGAAAGCTTAGCAGAGGCTCATCTCCACAAAATCGCCTACTGTACCAGCCAGGGCAAAAAGCAGCTCACTCCCCAAGCAGCCCTGTGAGCCCTGTGTGTCCTGTGAGGTCAGCGTCCTGGCCCCATTTCACAGATGAAGTAATAGCCTAGGTCAGGGACACCCGTGGTACCTTCTGGAGGCACAGGCCAAGGCCTGTAAGGATACTTCCATGCACATGTGCAGTACACACCCACCTGGTTAAGCTGCTTGACCTTCAGTGGCCCTGGAGAGCCCTCCAGAACCAGTACCCTCTACCCCAAAGGCATTTGTCGCCATCCAGGCGGCTTCAGGACCCATAGGAGGGATCCTGGTTGTCCTGGGAGAGGACAGTGAGGTGCCCGGCAGCATCTCTTCCACACCCGTGGGGGAGCTGAGTCACATTCTAGGATCTGGGCTCCTGCTGAGTCTGCTGTCCCAGAGACTGGGTGGGTGGGGAACTTCGCAAGGCTTGAGGTGTTGTATTGCTTGCCAATGGGAGGCGGTAGATAATGGCTTGCCCTGAGAGCCGGCGGAGCCGGGCTTCTCCAGTCAACTGTGTGGTGGTGGACAGGTGACATCCTGTGCCTCATTTTGGAAGAGGAGAGAAAATAATTCATGGAGTTGGGCGGAGGTGTAAAGAAATGAGAGCATATCTTCCAATGCCATCCCAGTGTGGCGCTTGCTTAAATGCTCGCTCCCTTCTGCAGGGAGGGAAGCGGCACAGAGAGGTCCCTTAAATGGATATTCATTCCTCTAGCAAATATTGGAGTCCTGCTGGGCACCGGGGCTCAGCGCCAAGCAGAGGGCGCCTGCATCTGAGAACTTACCTTCTCGCAGGGGAGATGGGAAGTAAACAGGGGAGGGGATCCTCGCAGACAGGGTGAAGCGCTCTGGGGCGAAGGGATGGGGACTGGGGCAGGGGTGGCCGACCGGCCCAGAGCCGGTTAGCTCTTGGTTCCACACACACACTCCTGGCCGCCTGCTCTGTGAGCTGCTTGGCGAGGTGCCAGGGCCATAGACCCAGGCCCAGCCCCAAGAGCTTGCTGTCTGGCAGAGCAGGGCTGGTATGCCAGTGGGTGGCCTGCACAAGGCCAAGTGTAGTCCCTTCTCCTCGGTGGTCACTCCGAGGTGGGGCATCATCCTGGGAGGAAGCGCGGGGCTCCCGTGGTAGGATCTCAGGCGCGGGGCTGGTAAGCTGAGGGAAGCCCGGGGCCTCGCCCTTCCCCGGGCCTGGGCTGAGTGTGCGTGTGTCCGTGTGCCTCACAGGCCGGCCGTACCGGGGCAAGCCGAGCGACATGTGGGCCCTGGGCGTGGTGCTCTTCACCATGCTTTATGGCCAGTTCCCCTTCTACGACAGCATCCCGCAGGAGCTCTTCCGCAAGATCAAGGCCGCAGAGTACACCATCCCTGAGTGAGTCCCACTCCCTGGGGAGGGGCGGAAACACCAAAGTGGTGGGTTGGAGAGAGCCAGCAGCCCCAGGCACCGCCTGAGCCCTCTCCCTCTACCGCATCAGGGACGGGCGCGTTTCCGAGAACACCGTGTGTCTCATCCGGAAACTGCTGGTCCTCGATCCCCAGCAGCGCCTCGCTGCCGCCGACGTCCTGGAGGCTCTCAGTGCCATCATTGCATCCTGGTAAGTGGGCAGGTGCCGGGCTGGGCGGAAGTGTGCGTTCTGCCCGTGCTTAGGCCCTGCCCATCCCACCCAGGATAGCAGCCTGAGGCCGGGCCTGTTTCTTTGCCGGACAGAGTCAGTTTTCCAGATTTTCCCCACGGGCGAGATGGGAAGGGTGCCGCCAGAACTCAGAGTCGAGCATCCCCCGCGTGCCAGCTGATGACAAGTATAGGACTGGCATTAATTACCTCACTGACTTTCCACTGCAGCCTGTGCGGTAGAAATGTCCCCCATTGTCGGATGAGAAAACTGAGGCTTGGGAGACAGAGTCATTCATGTCGAGAGGGGGCTGAGCTGGGACCCAGCCCGGTCTGTCGAGTCCAGCCGAGTCTTAGAGCTGTGGGGCTCCGGCTGGCCAGGCCCGGGGAGCCAGCCTGACTCGTCCGCCTCCCCGCAGGCAGTCCTTGTCATCGCTGAGCGGGCCTTTGCAAGTGGTTCCTGACATCGACGACCAGATGAGCAATGCAGACAGCTCCCAGGAGGTGAGTTGGGAAGGTCAGAGCAGTCGTCACCCAGTCCCAAGGGACCAGAGTCCGGGGACGGCAGGCTGCAAGGCCCCCTGGTCTGAGCTGCCTGGGGCCTTCCTTGCCTCCTGGCGGCCCCGTAGCCTGCAAGAGGGCCGTGGGGCAGTGGAGGCGGGGGCCCAGCCTGGCCCTCTCGGCTTCCTCTTCCTGCCGGAGCCCTGGCTCTGCCCTGCGCTGACTCACTGGGTCTCTCTCAGCCTCTCTGCTCTTCCTTTTCCAGATGATTCATTTTCTCCCAGTTTTCTCTCATTTCCTGCTCCCTGCACTGGAGAAAGTGCTGGGCCTGGCATGGGGGCAGACCTGGGCACCCGGCAGCAGCTGCCAGGCAGTCTTAGGGTGCCCCCTGGAGGGCAGGGCTTGGCCAGCAGAGCTGTGGGACAGATGCCGGGAGGACCTTCCCTCCCTGCCCCTGCCCCAGAGCGCCACTGCCAATGCTGGGCAGGTGGGAGAGCCTCCTGGCCCTTGACAAGAGAGTTGGCAGGCCCTCTCTCACCTAGATGCCACCCACAGTGCATCTGTCCATCCGCACCACAGGCCTGTGTGGCCGTATTCTCCTCTGTTCACAAAAGGAGGTTCAGAGAGGTGCAGTGATTTTCCTGGTCACACAGCTCAGACCCCAAGTCTGAGTGCAGAGCCCTGCTGTCCCCTGTGATGATCAGCATAGGGACCTGCTCCTTCAGTGTGCGGCCCTCTGCCTGGGCTGTGCCAGGCCCACCCAGGTGCTGAGCACACTGGCCCCCCGACCCCCGGGGCTCTTGAGAACAGCTCTGAGGGGAGATTAATGCCCCTCTTCACAGCTCAGGAAACTAAGGCTTCCAAGGTCATGCGACCTCCCCCAAGGTCAGTGGGTTAGTTAGCGGGGGATCCGCTCGGATCCCAGGCCTGGGCTTTAGCTGGAGCGACCCCTGGGCCAGGCTGCAGGTGAGGTCCAGGCTGGCGGGAGGGCTTCGGGGACCCACCCTGTGGGCCTCCCGGGGATAGTGGCCTCTGGAGCCAGGTCACCCCCGACACTGATTCCCTGCTCTTCTCTCCAACCCCCCCCCCCCCCCCCTCCCCCCCCCCCTCTCCCCCCCCCCTCTCCCCCCCTCCCCCGCCACTCTGCCTGTCCCTGGCTCTGCCCAAAGGCCAAGGTGACAGAGGAGTGCTCCCAGTACGAGTTCGAGAACTACATGCGCCAGCAGCTGCTGCTGGCCGAGGAGAAGAGCTCCGGACACGAGGCCCGGAGCTGGGTGCCCAAGCGGCAGTTCGGCAGCGTGCCCCCCGTGCGGCGGCTGGGCCACGACGCGCAGCCCATGAACCCCCTGGACGCGGCCATCCTGGCGCAGCGCTACCTGCGCAAGTAGCCCCCTGGCCCTGGGTGCTGGCCCCACCCGCCACCTCTCCCCAGCCCCCAGCCAGCGGCCCGAAGCACCCCCCCCCGCCGTCCCCCCACTGGCTGCGACAATGGGGACGGGGCAGGGACAGCGCAGGTCACACATGGGGTCAGCAGAAGTACCACGGAGCTACCTTGGGAATGATCGCTTGACTGTTTGGTTTTTTAATCTGAGAAGCCTAGATAACTAATCTGCTTTTAATCATGACGTTTTAATCTACCTCTGGCTCTCTAACCGTGCTGTCTCTGGACTGAGTGAGGGAGGAAGAGGGGCCGCCCGCCCAGGACAGCGCCCCCCCCCCCCATAAGCTGAACCGCAGCTCGCTGCTGGCTCCCAAAATGAACGCCCACCCCCCACGGCCCTCCCAGGCCCCCTCCCAGGCTGTGTCCGTCCCTTCCCTTCTGACCCCAGGCCCCTCAGTCCAAGCTTTGGAAAACTTCACCTCATCGTAAGCAGAATTCAAATATATTTATTTTTGTACTGAAACCAACTTCTCTCCCATCTCTAGGTGGCTCGGCCCGTGGCCACGCCCTGCCCCCACCCCCACCGACCTGGCTGGACAGCAGGGAGCCCACCGCCCACAGATGGGCCCCCTTCTCACCCCCAGGCTCAAAAGCCCCTTCCTGGCGGCCCCTCCACCTCCAGCCCACCAGTCCCCCCTGTTTCTGGTGATGGGGAGGCCTTTCTAGACTTGGTTCTCTTTCTCCCATCTCAGTAGCTTCTCTGAGGTGCTGCACCCTCGCATTAACCCTGGTTTCTTTCTGCACCCCGCACCGTGGTACTGAGGTGACGTTGACACAGATGTGAAGGGGGTGCCTGGTGGTCGGGCGGGGAGGGGAGCGCTGGGCCGACCGTGAACAGGTGGGCCCTGCTCGCATGCCTCGTCTTGCTCCCCGCACCCCTCTGTGTTCACAGGACGGTGGGGGCATCTCCCCTCCGGTTCTTGCCTCATAATGGATGTCGGGTCTCTCCCAGCAGACCCTGGCCAGGGCCCTTCATCGGGGCTGTGGGGCTCGTGGGGAGAGCTGTAGGGACTGGCGGGGGGGGGCTCTGCCTGGCTTGAGAACAGCCCTGCTGCCCTTTTTGAGCCGAGATTTTGAAGTGGATGCCCGTCTTGCCAGAAACACTGTTCTCACCAGAATGCCCTTCCCTCCCACCTCTCCCTCACTGGACTTGGCCTTGCCCGGTGCCAAGCAAAGACCCCTCCTCTGGCCTATCCCCCCAGGCCCTCCTGGAAAGGCTGAGTGTTCCCCTCCAGGCAGCCCTGGGCCTTCAGGCCCTTCCTGTCTGTTCTTGCTCCCCAGTGGGGAGGTGACCGAGGCCTGTGTGACCTTGTTTCCCAGAGTGTGAGCTGCCCCCTCCCCAAAAGCTGACTCACTGTGAGTGACTTGGGCAAGTTCCCAAACCTCCTTGTGCCTCAGTTTCCCCATCTGGAAAAAATGGGGCCACCTCTTGCCAGCAGTAGCAGGGCCGCCCATGCCCCTTCCTCCCCATGCCCCCATCCCAGCACTTGGGCGCCTCATGCCTCTGCCTCAGTGGGTCTCCGGGAGCCCGCCTGAGCCCAGCACTTACTCCCCCTGAGCACCAAGCTCTGCCTGCATCAGCGGCCAGCCACTGAGAGCCAGGGTGCCGTGCTGCGGGGGCGGGGGATGTCCTCTTTTCTATATTTATTTCAAAAAGAAGTCTCCCAAGGGAGTAGAAATGCAGTCTGGCCTAGGGCTCCCAGCCCCTGTGACTGTCCTCCCGGGAGGGTCTCAGCCGAGACCCTCTGGGCCTGCTTGCCACAGGTGGGCTTTCTCCTCCTTTTCAAAGCAATATGCTCGGGGGTCTGCAGAGCCTTCTCAGACAGGCGGGGCCCTCCAAGGTCAGCCCCTGCGTCTGATTACCTTTGTGGCTAAGCAAATGAGAGGAGGCTGGGCCTGCCCTCCCTGGGTGTCACACACTGAGAGGTCCTGTTGTAAAGAAACAAAACAGAAAAAGTCACAAAAAAGTTTGTATAAAGACATATTTTTGTACTACATGGGGACTCTTCCTGCATGTCAGCAATAAAACTTCCTGACCTGGAGCCCGTGTGGCCTGTACGTCTGCCGTTCTCGTCCTTCTCCCGGTGTCGCTGTCCCTCGTGCCCCAGCCAGGCAGGGCAGACTTTCTGCAGCTCTCGGCTCTCCCCCCCCCCCCCCCCCGCACCCTTCCCCCGCCCCGCAGCCGCTTGGTGGAAGAGGGGACAGAACTACCCCGCATTCTCCTGCCCCATTAGTGCACCGCCCCCCTCCGGAGTGCCCCCGGGGGACTGCCCTGCTCCCCTAGCTCAGCCCGGGCCCCTTGCGGGCAGGAGGCGTCCCAGGGCGGCTGCGGCTGGCCCAGTATCAATCCTCCCTCCCTGCCAAACCCCCAGCTGGGGTCGGGGGGGATCCCAGCCAGAGACTGCCCATGTGCCCCCACGCCCATCCAGGGCAGCTGGGGTGAGAAGGGCTCGGCAGGACTTTTCCTGCACTGGCCTCCCCCCTCGCTCCCCTCCATAGGCAGCCAAAGGGCTTCCTTCCTTCCTTTCTTCATTCCTTCCTTTGCCTAAATTTAGACGTTGCGGCTCGAACACCGGAGTGTGCAGCCGAAGGTAGGCCGGCCCCTCCCCCAGCCCCCCACGGCGCCCCGACAGACCCACTCACAGGAGTGGGAGCCCACACACAGCCCCAGCTCATAGAAGGAGCCGAGCCCACGCCTGGAGCCCCTTCGCAGGCAAGCGTGCACACAGCAAGAGTGAGGCGGCCCTGGGGCTGTGCGGACTCTCCAGAGCCGCCCCGGCCCCTCGCCCGGACCTGCACACCACCTCCCTGGCCACTCCCGCGGCTACACACACTGAGCGCGTTTCCTCTGACCCATCCCTCCTCTGCGAGCCGTCGGGGGTCTGCCAGCTGCAGCGCCCGGTCTCGTCCCCACGTCCGCCTCCTTCCCGTCCCCCTGGCACCCGATCAGCCTCCGTTCCGTGCCACATGCACGGACGGGTCAGCCTTACTGGCCACCAACACCCAAGACCGCCGCCCGCGGGCAGGGACCCGGCCTCGCCTACTCGCCTGTCCACAGCTGGGACGGGCTGGGCACACAGCTCGCACGCCAGAGCTCGGTCTCAATCTCAACGTGTCAGATGGCTCCTCAGTTTTTATTGCGAGCCCCAGAAGCCACGGAAGCAGAAAGTAGCAGAAAGGTGGGGGGGGGGGGGCAGGATCAGCAGCCTCCTGTGCTCCTGAGAAGTCAAACAGGAACGAAGAAGTTTCCAGCCGTTTGAGCCACCTCTGGGGCTCCAGCGGCCTCAGGACTGGAGCTGCCCAGCTCTCTGAAGTGGGGAAGGGAGGAAATGGAGGCTCAGTGGCCGAGGTGCTTAGGCCAAGCTTGCCTTGACTTGTTGCCCCCCCCCCGCCCCCTCCCACCCCACGTCCAACCCCCTGCTAATCCTGTCACGGGCCAGGCAGAATCTGACCCTTCTCACGGCTCCCTTGCGACCACCCTGAGCCCCCTCTTGCTTTCTGGCCTCCCTGCTCCCACCCTTCCCCCGCAACCACCCAGGGGCCACATGGCAGCCAGAATGAGCCTTTTTACAAGCCCGGTTTTGTCCCTAGCTTAGTTTAGGACTAAGCTTAGGTGTCCCTAAGGACAGAATGAGCCTTTTTACAAGCCCGGTTTTGTCCTCAGCTTAGCACCTCTGATGGCTTCTGCCCCAGGCAGGATAACATCCAGAGGTCGGTCTGTGGTTTGGAAAGCTCCACAAACAGCCCTGCGCCTGGCCCCCTCTCTAACTTGTGGGCGCCGCACCCCGCCTCCGTCCCTGTGCCAGCCACACTGGGCTCCTTGCTGATCCCGAAAGAGCCGAGCCGGCTTCCACCTCAAGGCCTTTGCCTGGGCTATTAGTTCTGGAAGGCTCTTCCCCCAGATAATTTGCATGGCTGCCTCCCTGACTTCCCTCTGCTCAAAATGTCACCTCAGAGAGGCTGTCCTGAACACCTGGCCTTCTCTAACCCCTTAAGGTTTCCTCTTTATGTTTCTTCATTGTGCTTCCCACAGCCTGGTATGATATCATATGTCCGATTGTTGATTCTATCTGCCTTCCCTTCTCAGATGCTGAGCTCCATGAGGGCAGGCCTCTTTTCTGTGTGTCCATGGGAGGGGGGGGGCGTCAGAATTATAGGGTGCTACTGGCATTTAGAGGGTGGGAGCCAGGGACAGCCCCACAAGGAAGGCAGAGTCTACATCCTGCACAACGTGAGTGAAAATGTGTTTACAATGACCAGAGCCAAGAATCTACCTCCCTTTTATACATAAACACAAAGGACTGGTGGACACATAACATACACCGAATCTTTGGGGAATGCAACTACTGTGCAAAGTGGAGGGAATCTATACCTTGTGTTGCTCCGAACTGTACCACGAACTGTACCAAGAGCGCCTCACCGTTTCCGACCCTGTCATGACCGCAATGTCCCAGCACCAGTCTGCACTCAGAGCTGTCACGTTCCCAGGGAGTGACCACACCACAAATACATATCATTACCTTTTATTTTCTTTATACTTTTAATTAGATGCGGGGGTGGGTATATTAGCCACAAATTTCACTTCAGGAGCATAAAAGGATCAATACAGAGTATCACGAAGAGGCAGCTTTGGGTCTGCCTGGGTGGGGAACCATGACCCAGAACCAGCCCGTGGAAGACTGGTTGGGAGCCAGGCCCCAGCCCTTACAGCCATGTGACCACACATACATGCTTCCCCTGAGCCTCACTTTCCTCCTCGTTAGGTGGGAGTCCCGCTACGACCCGCACAGCGTGACCGGGAGAGCTGAAGATGAAGGGCACATAGCACTTAGCCAACCAAGTACCAGGTGCCAGGAGGGCACTCCATATCCATAACTCTTATGGTTCATTCTGCAAATTTCACTGGGCCCTCTTCCCAGCGGCTGTCCCAGGGGCTGAGAGGCATTCAGAGGACTGAGCAGGTCCAAGGAGGCCATGAGTGGGTCACCTTCTTCCCTCCATCTAGGACCTAGCCAGCCCCTGAACCCCTCAGTGGGAAGGCCCCAGTGTCAGGAACAGACCCCCAGCTTGGCCACTGAGGAAGGGAGCAGAGCTGTTCCAGCCCCCCTGACAACCCTCCCAGAGGCTCTGGGTCCCTCAGCACCCCCTGACCTCCCACCGAGACCTGTCTTAACTTTTTTCATTAAAAAAGACCTGTCTTGGGGCACCTGGGTGACTCAGTCATTAGGCATCTGCCTTCGGCTCAGGTCGTGATCTCAGGGTCCTGGGATCGAGCCCCGCATCAGGCTCCCTGCTCAGTGGGGAGCCTGCTCCTCCCTCTCCCTCTGCTGCTTCTCCTGCTTGTGCTCTCTCTGTCAAATAAATAAAAATATTTTTAAAAAATAAAAAAATAAAAAAGACCTGTCTTTCCTGAGTTTCATCTTAGGATCACTCTCTGGGCCTCCCAAGGTGACAAATCTCTAGTCCCACAGGCTGACAGGAGAGCAGAGAGGCAGCCAACCAGTGGGCAGGTGGACGGGCAGCAGGTCAGTCATAGGCCGGCAGACAGGGAGAAAATCAGCAGGTGGAGAGATGGGATGCAAGCCAGGCAGGCGAGTGATGGGTATGCCGAGATCCCAGCCAGCACAACCGGCAAGCAGGTGGCCGGGAATGCCTACAGACTGGCTGGCGGGCAGAGCGAGGCAGGCAGAAAAGCAGATCGGCAGGTCGGCAGGAGGGCCTGACGGCCAAGGGGCACACCCCCCAGGGCCTCCAGGAGTAGCCCTCAGCCTCTCTGGAACCCTCCAGGGCAAGGCTACTCCTCCTCCCACCCAGCCTAGCTCGGCCGCATGCATCCCCCTAGGCGAAGGCAACACTCTGGTGTGTCCCTGTCTCTGAAGGGACCAGTAAGCATCGCAAACCCCACTCTGCTCAGCAGGGCCACCAGCTTCACCAGGGCTGAGTCACACCTGACTCTCTCCCAACACACACGTCACCCACCAAGGCACAGACACCCGTGTCAGCAGGTCAGCAATACCCAGAGATCCGCATAGCGCGGCAACAGCTTAACACCGATCCAGAAACTTGTATGCTCTCATGAATACAGAGAGGCGTGCGTGTGGCCCCTCAGGAGGACCCAGGTGTGCGCCATCCCCACCGAGGCACAACATCCTCAAGACACAAGGTGGGTCACAGCACGGCTGCAGCACACCCCGATGTTCGCACAGATGGAAGGCATTCCGTGAATCCGTGCGCCCACGGAAACCCACTGATAGCACAGCCGGTGGTTAGATTCTGGCCTCACGTTCATCCTCATCGCATCCGGCTCTGCCTCCCACCTCACGGGTGTCTCCTGACTCCTCCCCCAGGAGAACCGTCAAGGGTGCACGGCCGGAGCTCGGGCTTCAGCGGCTTCTCGTCCCTCCCGGCTCCAAGGCTGATGCCACCCACTCCCCGGGAGTCCTATCCATCTTCTGTGTGGAGGGCTCCCAAACCCGTGTCCAGCCCAGACTCCTCCCGGGGCCCCCCGCCTGACACCTCCCCCGGGGTATCTAATGCACATCTCAAAGGAAAGTCCGACCCCGCAGACCTGCACCCCACATACGCTTCCCTCAGGGGCTCAGGCCCAGCGTCAAGCGGCGGCCCTGCGACCTCTTTCCCTCACAGCCACAGGCAAAGGCAGGAATCGCTGACCCCGCTTCACCTGCTCCGCGGCACTTCCGGGACCAAGCCCTGGGCGCCGCCCGCGCGGCCCCGGCCCTCACCGCTCCCCGTTCCCGCCCCGCCGCCGCCTGCTACCGCGAGTCCCCACCGGGGTCTCTCCGAAGTGCGTCAGGAACCAGGACGCCGCCTCCGCCGGCCCCCCAGACTCTCAGGGCTCCACACCGCACGGACAGTAACGTCGGAGCTCCCCCTCGGGCCCCCCCACGCCCCTCCCCTGCACCCGGGAGAGAGGCGCCCCACGGCAGGATGCGGGTGTCACCTCCCGCGCCCCCTTGAGAGCGGCCTGCAGGTGTGTTCCATCACGCTCTGCGTCTCAGCAGCGCCCACGCTGCCTTCTTCAGGGACTGCCTCCCGGCCCTGGAGTCGGCTCCACGAGGGCAGAGGCCTGTGTCTGTCCTGTTTCCCGCCGGAGCCCCCATTCCCGGGAAGTAGCATTTGGGGACGGGCCGCTGTAGGGATTTACACGCAGCGGTAGCCGCCCCCACACAAACGCTCGAGCAGATACAACACGAAAGTGGACACACAAACAGATAGAGGCAGAAATGCCTCCGTCCGCGCTCACAAAACAGACTCAACAGTCACAGCGACACCCGGGGGGTCCTTTCCCATCCCCATGGGAACTGGTCTGTCTTTTCTCCATCTCCATCTGCCCTCTGCTTGAACCCAGTCTCAGGACTGGAAGTGGGGGGTCTCCAGCCTGGACACACGGGGGGGTGGGGGTCACTGGCCCACAGGCCTCAGGCCGCGCCTTCAGCTATGTCTGCAATTTCCTCTCCCCCTTCCTTCCCTCCTCCTCTCGGAGGCTCCCGCCAAGAAGGCCTCCCCCTCACCCAAGCCCCAGCGCAGGAAGGGGGGCCCAGAAAGGCGGGGGGGGGGTGAGAGTCTGAGCAGGAAGATCACCCAGGCCGCACACATGGATCACAGAACGCGTTGCCCGTCCAAGCCGAGCCCAGGTGGCAACGGATGCGCGCGCACTGGCAGGTTTAGCCAGGGGCAAATGCGTCTCTGCGGCCGGCTCCGCGCGGAGCACCGGGGCGGCGGAAGCTCCAGGCTGGGCTCTGCAAGGCTGGCCTGCTCCTGGCTCTAAGCTCCGGTCCGACATTCACTAACCCTGTGTGACAGGAGCTCTCCCAGCCGGAGCCCTGGGAGGGAGGAGGAGAGCCCCTCTGTCGTAAACAGACATCTGGGGCAGGACTGAAGAAGAGGGGCAGTCTTCCCTGGGTGGAGGGGGCCTTCTGGGAGGAAAAGCAAGGTGTAGAGAAGGGGTTAAGCGCCCCGGGCTCAAGGGGCAAAGAGCAGTGGGTTCAAATCCTGCCCCTTTGGTCAAATTATTCAATCTCTCCGTGACTCAGTTTACTTATCTGTCAAGTGGCGACAATGGTACTCACTTTATAAGGTGGTTAGAATTAAATGAAAGAATATTACAAAGGGCGCGCGCACGCACACGCACACACACACACACACACAAACACACCGCCTGGCACCTAGGCAGAACTTCATCCTTACTATTATTTTTGTTATTAGTAGCTTGGGGGCGGGACCCTGCCACCGGCCTCCCCAGCGGTTTCCTGTGGGAGAGCAGACGGCCCCGCCGGCCTCGCTCCCCCTCCTCGCAGTCGCTCGCTCCTCTCCCCTTCCTCTCCCGGCCCTTTTCCTCCCCGCCTCCCCCCGCCCCGCCCCGCCCCGCCCCTCCTCTTTCCTCCGCGGAAACTTTTCCGCCGGCTGGTCCATCGGCCCGTGTCCGGCCCGCGCTGCCGCGGCCTGGGAGCCGAGCGGGGCAGGCGGGGCAGCCGGGACCGGACTGGGTGGGAGCGGCGGGGTCCCGGGTGTATGCAGCCGCCGGACGCGCCGGGCCGGCAGCGGGGAAGAGGGGCGCTGACGGTGAGTGAGCCCGGGCCTCCGGGACGGTGGGTCCCGGCGGGGCGGGCAGATGGGAGAGGGAGGCGGCTTCCCCTCCCCGGAGCCCGCCCTGGGAGTGGGGAAGGCACTCGCCTCTCGCTCCTCCATCCCACTACCGGGACGCCGAAACCGGGCGTCATTTGGGGACCCCACAAGGGGGCGGAGCCTCCTGCGGCCCACTTCCCTGACCCCTCAAGTTGGAGGGATGTCTGCGCCCAGGGCAAGGATTCCCCACCCCCCCAGGGCAGGGCCCAGGTCTGTAACAAAGTTAGGGAGCTGCTCTCTCCAGGGCGGACGCTGGGGGCTGCGCTTCCAGCGAGGGAAGCTACCTTGAGGAAGCGGGGTCAGGATCAGCTCTGGGCTGGGGAGTGGGATCTGACCTTGCTGACCTCGCAGGCTGACAGGGGGGCTGCCCCTCCGCCCCCAGAGCAGCATGGATGCCCCACGGAGGGACATGGAGTTGCTGAGCAACAGCCTGGCGGCCTACGCACACATCCGCGGTGAGGGCGGGCCCCGGGGGGGCATGCGCCCCACTCCACCCCTTCCTCTCCCCACCTCCCTGCCCCATCCTCCCCGTCCCTCACTGCCCGATGGCGGCTACCTAATGTCTTTCAAATAAGGAGTACTGTCCTTGCCCCCCCCAAAACTTAGAACCTGGAGTCCTTCCGAAATGGAGTAACTCCCACCCGCCAGGGAGCCAGGGCTCCTCCATGACTTCTGCCCTCTGACCCCCAGCTAACCCCGAGAGCTTTGGCCTCTACTTCGTGCTGGGAGTCTGCTTTGGCCTGCTGCTGACCCTGTGTCTACTAGTCATCAGCATCTCCTGTGCGCCCCGCCCGCGGCCCCGGGCCCCTGCGCCGCGCCGGGACCCCCGCGGCAGCACCCTGGACCCCGAGGACGAGGACGAGGACGACGAGGACACGGTGACCCGGCTGGGCCCCGACGACACGCTGCCGGGCCCCGAGCTGAGCGCCGAGCCAGACGGGCCGCTGAGCGTCAACGTCTTCACGTCGGCAGAGGAGCTGGAGCGGGCGCAGCGCCTGGAGGAGCGGGAACGGATCCTGAGGGAGATTTGGCGCACCGGGCAGCCGGACCTGCTGGGCACCGGCACCCTGGGGCCCAGCGCCTCGGCCACAGGCACCCTGGGTCGCATGCACTATTACTGACCGGCCCCTTTCCACTGCAGAGAGCTCTGCGTAGTGGACATGCGCAGGAACTCACAGCGGCCCCAGGACGTTGGGACTGCCCCTGCCCACGGTGCTATGGAGGCCCCGCCCCCACAGCTCCCCCAGTGCTATTGGGCCTGGATCCCCACCTTCTGGGATACCCAGTCCTGCCACAAAGCCCGTGGGGGACAGGACACAGGGTTCCCCAGCCCCTTTCGTGGGATCGGTTAAGAGATGACCAATGAAAACTGCATTCTCAGTGACTCAGTCTCCCTCTGTTACTTTTGTCCCCAGTGTCCTCCAGGCTCCTGCCGTGCAGGGGGCCCCAGATTGAGACCCCACTCGACTCTTTTACCAGGCTGACCACCTTTATCAACCCACCCAACACCTCAGCATACACGCTTGCATTCAGTTCACAGACTGAAAAAACACTCCACCACCTCACAGCCTCACGCACAGAACAAGTTATCACTCGCATTCCTTCCTCACAAATGCATTCCTTCCCGACGAAGGCCTGGGCGCACTTTGCCCCTGTTCTTCGAATGCTCTGGGATCCTGCATCATTGCAATCACACACACACACACCATTGCAAACACACACACACCATTGCACACACACACACACACACACCCCAGGCCTGGGGACCCTGCCCTTGACGCTAAGGCACTATTAGCCCGTGTTAACCGTGTGTGCCAGAGGGGGGCTATGGAGTTCGTTTCGGAGCAGAGCTGCGTTCCAGCGAGTCCTTCCGAGAGGACTGTGGGGCCAACTGGGAGGGGTCCCGGCTCGAGAGCAGGCCCGCCCACCTCCTCTGGCGCACAGCTGGATTCCGGAATCCGGGCCCGCGGGCAGAGCCCGACCCCGCCTGGGCCTCTCCTGCCGGCCATTTCTCCAGCACCCGGCAGACGTCCGAAGGAGACACCCCCCACCCGCCCCCGCCATCCGGTGGATAAAAATAGACGCGCGCAGGCCTTGGGAACGGTAATGGGAGCCACATGTTGGCCAGATGTGCCCGGGAGAGACCGCCGGGAATGCGGAGGGCCCGGAGCGCCCGGCCGGCCCCGCCCCCGCCCCGCAGGCCCCGCCCCCGCACGGACCAGGCAGGCGCGGCGAGCGCGTACACGGCAGTTTACTTTCTTGCGTTTCTCAGAGTCGCGTGCTAGGACGTGGGAGGCCGGAGCCTGACTTGCCCCCAGGTCCCGCGGTGGTCCCTTCCGGGCCCACCCTCAGTGCGTCTGCGTCTGCGCGTGGATGGAGCCCCGGGTCCGGGACTCCTGAGTCCCCTGCTTCATCTGCACCTAGTCGGGAGAGGGCGTTCAGAACAGGCCGCCAGGGGAGGGCCAGCCTCCAGCCCCCTGGGATCTGCACCCCACCCACCTCCAGCAAATGGCGCTTCTCCTTCTCGCTCTTCAGCTCCTCCCAGATGTCGGTCAGCTTCCTCCTGCGGACGGGAGGCCGAGGGGGAGGGGTGGGCTGGGCAGGCTTAGAGCCCCCAGCCCCCTCCCAGCCCACGCCCCTCCCCCTCCCCACTTACTCCAGCTGCACCGCCATCCACTCCAGCGACCTCCTTAAAGATTCCATTTCGTCCTGTAGCCTCATTATATCGCCTCTGTCACTTTTGCTGTCCGTGAGATTTTGCGGGACGAGGGAAAGTAGAGTGGGAGTCTCTTGGGGGTCTGCAGTCGACTTGATAGAATGAGGATTCTTTTGGGCAGGGGCTACCTCTTTGGGGGACACCTGCTCTTTGGGGAGTGCCTCCTCTTCCGGGGTACCCTCATGCTTCCCAGGTGCCTCCTCAAGGAGAGTTGTAGCCTTCTCAAGGGCAAGCATGGACCCTGGCTTGGACTGAGACTGGAATGGGAAGCTGTCCCTCTGATCGAGAGGGTGTGTCGTCGTGCAGAGATCGGGCTCCTCTGGCATGTGGACCTCTTGGGATTGAGCCTCATTGGCCACAGGAGACTTGAACTCTGGCAGGGCTTGCTCAGGAGAGAAGTGATGGATCTGAGTGTTGTCTCTACTGGAGGCCTCTTCAGAGGGCACCTGCTCAGGGGTCAAGACCTTTTCTAGGGTGGGCGCCTCATCCCCAGGAGAGACCATCTTTGGGCCAAGGACTTCATCCTCTGGTGGGACTTCTGGGGCAGGGGCCTCATCCACAGAAACGAGGCTGTGTGGGCTGGGAGCCTTGTCTAGAATCAGGCCGTCCTGTGGGGTGGGGATCTTTGGGGCTGGGGTCTTGAACTCTAGAGTCAGGGCCTCCTCGGAGATGGTGACCTTATCTGGAGTCAGGGTTTCCTCTGGAGTGGGGGCCTTATCCGGAGTCAGAGTCTTCTCTGGGCTGGGGGTCTTGTCCAGAGTGGGCGTTTTATTCACAGGAGAGGCCTTTGCTAGGCCGCGCTGCTCTTCCTCCTGTGGTGATGGGGGTGAGGTCTCAGCCGAGGGATGGGTACCTTGACAGTTTGAGTCAGGCTCCCCTTGGCCTGGGATCCTTCACCCTTCACAACCATAGCCCTGGGAACCAGACTCTGCCCAGTGGTCCCGGTGTCTCAGGGCCTCTTACCTGACTGGTTGCAGAGCGCTGCCGGGAAGCCTGGGTTTTTGATCCCTTTCTACCAGGGTGGGCTGGACCCCCGCTGAGGAAGCTGCTGCCGGAGCCTATGAGAGCAGAACCTCAGGGGTCCAAGCTCCTCTGACCCCAAGTCTCTCCCCATCTTTGTCCTTCAGCACAACCACCCTTATCCCTGTCCCCCATTCCTTCCCCACCGTGGGAGGCAACAAGACCTACCCGAGTCTCGGGAGGGGCGCTTCTGACTGTCTCCGCCGCTGGGTGTCCAAGAAGGCCTGGAACATATTCCCATCAGACCAGGAGGTGGGGTCAGGGAACAGCATTTCCTGTGTACCCTCCTCCTTGCCCCACCCCCACCCCACTCCTTACTTGGTTTTGCTGGGCCCAGTAGGGGCTGTCACCAGCTTCCTGACTGTAGGGAGGGCCGATTTGGGCATCATCTTTTTTGGTTCCTTAATAGGAGCTGGGAGGGGAGAAGGGAGTGTGGCACCCATTCACTCCCTTATTCATCCATCTAACAGTTGCTGGCCCTGTCCTCTGCATAGGGGACTAGGGACAGGGGAGGAACATTTGACGCTGCCTCTTCGGAACTCTGGGGAAGCCGACCACCCTCATGCCACGTGGGCATGGGAACTGTGGGAGCAACCCAAAGGGACACATAGCAGGAGACAGTTGTCAGGGAAGGCTTTGGAGGGGACATGGCTTCATACCCTGCCAGTTTTTTTATCCATCCTTTCCTTTTTTTTTTTTTAAGTAATCTCTGTGCCCAACATGTGTCTCAAACTCAGAACCCTGAGACCAAGAGTTGCACGCCCTAGGGACTGAGCCAGCCAGGCGCTTCTATCCATACTTTTCTATGACCTGTCCCCTGCTCATTGCCCATGGCTGCCTCCCTGGTTCAGACTTCATCTTTTTCCTAGACTACAGCAATAACCTTCCCCAATGCAACCCACCCTCCCTAGAACTTCTTGGTCTTCTCTATCTCCTTTAGTCCCTAAGAGATCTCACCCAGTTTTATGGGTTTAATTAGCACCAATAAGCCAGCGACGTCCATATTCTCATTTCTAGCCCCTGAACTCCAGGTTCCTATCCAACTGTCCTGTTTCTACTTGGGGAGCTAACTAGCATCACACACTTAACATATCCAAATCTGAGCTCTCACTTCCCATCCCCCAAATCTGCCTCTTTTCCAGTGTCCCCCACCTCACCCCCTTATCCACTCGCCCAGATGACAAAATGAGTCATCCTTGACCCCTTTCATTCCCTTACGCTGCATATCCAAACCAGCAGTAAATCCTGATTGCTCAGGTCCTGAATGCAACCACTTCTCACCAGCCCTGCCACTAAGCACTCTAGACCGAGGCACCCCCACCTTCACCTGGACAGGGCGGCAGCCTCCGAGCGGGGCTCTGGCCACACTCCCCCTGCCTACGGCTTGTTCCCACAACAGTCAGAGTGAGCTCGGGTTCCACCAGGGCCGCAGACATAAGCAAAAGTAGAATATGTCATGTGTGAAAGAGTTATTGGGTGTTACTGAGAGAGAACAAGCAGGGGAATGTCACCCTGAGGCACGACAGTATACACCTGGTGGGGTTACTGCGAGGTCTGAGGGGACTTCACTCACGTGAGGCGCTCAGAAGAGGATGGGACATAGAGTCAAGGCTCAGAAAACGTTCACTTTGACTTCAGCTTCTCGTACTTTAGCTTTTTGCTAAAGTGCTCGGTAGGGCCCTCCCACTAGAGAGCAATTCTATCCTCCGGAGGATACAATTTTGAGGCAGTGTTGGGCCTCAGAGAAGTGGGGGAGGTCCACAAAAAAGGGACAAACTGAGGCCAGAAGGGTAGTAGGAGGGCCAACTACTGGGCTCCGGAGCCTGGGCCTGTGATGAGGAGCCGATACCCAGGTTGCGCCCCCTGAGTCCCCCACGGGCCCAAGCGGCAGTGCCACCCCTGCACACCCCTTTCTTCTAGAGGGCTCTGGTGGTCTCTGGTGGTTGGTGCCCTTTGGCTCCTGGCGGAAGTAGGAGCAAGTCCTTTCTGGAAGAAGTTTTCCCCTCCCGAGGCGGGAATTCCCTCAGGTTGGGATCAAGTCCTGAGCTCACACACAAAGATCACAAAACACACGAGAAGGCAGGCCACTGAGAATGGGAGTCTGCAGACACGATGCACAGCAGGTACTGGAATTGTCAGAGAACACAGCTGTGCTACAGGGCACGCAACAAAAGGACCATCAGGAATAAACAGGCAAATCTGGGGGGGTGGGGGAGGAAAACTGAGTGACTAGAGATGAAAAATAGCATTCTTGAAATAAATCAAATGCAATATAGGTTAAATAGCAGGTAAAACACAGCCAAAAAGCCAGAAAGAGAATTACTAGGCTGGAAACATAGTGAGACAAGGAGCAGAACATTTGAAAGCAGTGGTAAAAAGAATGGATAATGAAAGGGGGTTTGGCTACGGCTGAATGATGCGGTAGACAAATCCTCACCTCGCAAGGCAACTAGAAAGCTGGACAAAACCACCATTTCTGTGCTCTGGAAATTGACCAAAGGCATAAGATATCCTAAGAAGTGTTTACGCTTGATGGCCTCCTTGCCCGCGCCTGCCCCCATCCCTGCCCCAGCTCCCGCCAGCCTGGTCTATGCAGACGCTCTGCTCTGCAGCGTAGGGCCGGCTGCAAGGATTGGCAGCTTCACTGC